TGTGAAGTTTGAGTTGTTCTTGAGCGTATATATTTTACTCATATCCACTCTTAAGGAGAGTCTTGTTCTTGAGTGTCTTAGTGTTGTATACACGTTAAGGGAAGCTTGTTTCCCTTGGTTGTACGAAGGAAAGGTATTTTCCTTCGGGTTGAAGTCTTGGAGTGCGGTATCTCCGAGCAAGGTTGTTGAGGCTCGTGGGACTCGAGTTCTCAGGTTGTAACGGTTTGTTAAGCACCCGTAAGCTTAACGGAAGTAGTGTAGCTCGAGAGAGTCTCTCGGGAGACTGGATTAGCCACACGTTGTGGTGAACCAGTATAAATCTTGGTGTGCTCCCTTTACGCTTTCAACGCTCTTTACTTTTCACGTTCTTAATTTTTTATTCCTGCGATTTCTACGATCAAACGCTATTCACCCCCCCTCTAGCGTTGGTCACTTATTCTAACATTGGAACACCGGGCATCAACAAAGTTCAGGCTGTGATCTCCATGCCCCACCTATGCATGAAGTTCCACACACCGGGTGGTGTGAGCGAAGTACGATGAGATCAAAGAAACGCCCGGGAGTGCTATGCCCGGGCAATGAAGAAGATGGCAAAGGGGGTCAACGTCATCTCCCAAGAAATCACTAAGGGGGAAACCCGGGAGAAAATAGAACCCGAGGCTGAAACGGTGGATATCAAACTCCACCCGGGTGATCCCTCGAGGACAGTCAGAATCGGAGCAAACCTATCCAAGGACCTCAAGGAAGAAATAACTCGGGTCCTCCAGGAGTATGCGGGCATATTCGCATGGAGCGTGGCATATTCTGAGATTTTATCCGGAAGGAGGTGAAGGATCTCCTCAGTGTTGGTGATACGTGGAGGATGTGTGTGGACTATGCGGACTTAAACAAAGCCTGTCCTATGGATTCATATCCTCTACCCAGCCCGGATCAAATGGTAGATGAAACTTCCAGGTGTGAACTTTTAAGTTTCATGGACGCCTTCAAGAGCTACCACCAGATTTACATGCCAAAGGAGGACGAGGAAAAGATGTCATTCCTCACACCCGAAGGTACCTACTATTACCGAGTAATGGCATTCGGCTTGAAAACTCAGGAGCCACTTACCGGCGCATGGTAAACAAGCTTTTCAAGCCTCTGATTGGGAAGACCATGGAAGCTTACGTGGATGACATGCTGATCAAGAGCCAGGTATCTCTCAACCACCCGGCTGATATGCGAAAGTCCTTAGAGATCATGGCAATGTACAACCTCTAGTTGAATCCCAAGAAATGCGTCTTCGTGGTTCGTACCGGTAAGTTCTTGGGATTCATGGTGACCAGGAAGTATATAGAGCCCAACCCGAAGAAAATTCAGGCAATCGCTGAGATGCAATCCCCGAGATTTATAACTTCTGTTCAATTTAAGTTTTGCCATGTACCGAGTAATATGTTTACATGGGAAAACCTACTCCTGACATGCAATATTAGAATCCATCATAGTTAATATATGACACCGGTTTACTTCTTACCTTGCATTGTGCGAGTTAAAATCTACTCGGTAGTAACAAACTACTAGGTTCAAACAGGTCTATTTCCCCTACATCCAGAATGCAACAACATACTACATTTTTTTTGTTTCTCCTCCTCAATAAGAGTTGTTTCCTTTTCCCCAGCAAAATGAATAAAATAAAATCAAAATAAAGCGCAAGTTATAATGATATTTTAGTTGAGCGCCTTGTCAATTTCTTCCGCGTGCTCTCGAAGTACATGCCACTGCAAACGAGAGAAAAGTTAAATGCTTTTGCATTAACGTAACCCACATTAATTGTAAATAATGTGACGACAATGGATTGAAGAAAAAAAAGGTAATTGTGCAATACCTGTTCCATGGGTAATGAAATGCCTGGATAATGAAAATGAATTATGAGAAAATATACTCTTTGGCAGAAAATCTCATGCAAACAAATCAAAACAAAGAATGCTCTTTGACAAAGTTCTTGAACACACAGCACATACCACTAATTATTTTTAGTAATTAGAAGTTATTCTGGTGATTAAGCCACCAAGTTCTTTATGGCTTAGTATTGTTATGCTCTTTGACAAAGTTCTCTATGGCTTAGTATTGCTAAGGTCTGATTCTACCAACAAAAGACAACAACTTTCAATGCATCTTATGTTGTCTCCAGCTTAAGATCCAATCATCCCATCAGCATAATCTGGAAAACTAAGTCATGATTTTGAATGGGTTTGTCCTCTACACTATCGAATGCATCATAAGACCAAATTCCTTAGCACCCCCTATGATTTTGCAACTATCCACCTGCCAAATAGCATCAAGTCAACCACAACAACAAAACTGAATCTATGAATCATGTCTTGAATCCCACAAAGAGTCTAAAAATGCATCTCCTTGTACCCACCCTTTCCATAAATTATTCTGATATTCTTTAAAACAATTCTCCACCCATTGGTCCACTTAAGTATGTGTGCATTCAAATGTTCTAACCCTCCAACAACTGCTATTTCAAGATTTCATTATAAAAAGGAGGTCAAGGGTAAACATAAAAGTAGATGGCAGAGAGTAGTCATCCTCCTTAAAAGTTGAAAAATCAAAATACAAAAAAAATCCCATGTTAATGTGCATTTTTTACCAGAAAACGCAGCAGCTCAACGGAGGATAGCATTTTGCAAAAAATACACTGCGCACTTGTGAATGCTAGAATATGAACAATCTAATAATTGACAGCATAACATGTGATTTTATTTAATAGCAAGGCAATCAATCTTCAATGTTGACTAACATGGTAATAGCTACTAATCCCTCCGTCCAAATTTATGGTTCAAATTTTCCTTATTTTGGGTGTCACAAAGATTCTCATTGGATTGTGAGAGGCTAATATACGTAATTCACTTTTAAAAATTACCCAATTTTACTTGTGTTAATTTGCATGGGATTCTTATGCTAACGTTGCTAGGGGGAGTAGTTAGTTTACTTAGTTACAAATTTATGAAAGACGAGAGGTGAGAGGTGGGCATCCTAAAGCCAAATGAGTACAAAATGATTGTGTGTGTAGATTCATATATAGCATATATAAGTAGAAGGTAGTATTTATCATTATTAGGTATTAACTATCAAGTGTTGGAAACAAACTTTCTACTTTTTTCTAGGGATAAGGTCAACATACACCATACACACAACCTCCCTAGACCCTATTCTGAGGGATCCAACTAGATAGTTTGTTTATTTTCTTGGGTATTAAGTATAGGGATTTTGCTCAAAAAAAAGTATAGGGATTATATTATCTGAATATTTATATTGTACTATATATTTAGAAGGTACTATATATAGTATCAAATTCAAAGGATATAAGACAATTTGTTTTTATAAATGACAAACAAATGCAACGAACACAATTCAAACTAATTATGAATCTATAATTAAAAGCATCCTCTGCTCAAAACCAAATTAAAATTGACAATTACATGTTATAATAAAAAATTACTCCGTATCATTTTTATTGATACCTAAAAAATTAACCATCACACCAAAGGTGTGTAAAAACAAAAGCCGGCAAATTGATAATAACAAAACTGCAAGCATAAGAAACAGTGATGGGAAAGGGAAAAACAGAGAACCAAATTACAACATATCAAATAAACCTACGGAGATCATCTACAGTGGCTGAGGGAGGCGCAGGTTGTTTCTGCTTCAAATCCACACATAATCGCATCAGTTGCAAGGGTTTATTTGTAAATAGTAAGCCCATATCCCCAAGTCATTTCCTATAATGTTCAACACAGCAATGATTGTGCCTGAGGTGACTCAGACATATGCCTTAGACTTAGACCTAGAAAGGAAGCGACAAAGGCACACCAGGCACTTCACCTCTTGGAGATCGCCTAGCCTGACTTCATTCAGGCACTACATGCATGCCTCTTCGCCTCGGGTGACTCGTGTACTCACCCTTAATAACCATGGTTAGTTTATTTAGTGACATGAAGTATATCTAATTTATCCACACCAGTATAATGTGTCAGCACTCAGCCTAGCATTGCACTGGTTTTAAATTTTGACCATACTTGGTTATAAAATACTTTCTTCCTGCCACAATTAACTAATTTGACTTGAAGCTTTTTTAAAAGAATATGTGATGTGTAGTTGAGATTTATACAAGTACAGAGAAACAACAATAAAAGATAACTTTAAAATCAAAGAAAGAGGAAGGCAATAAAACAGATGCAATGGGAGTATACCAACTAAGCGGGGAGTTTTTTTAATCCATTCTTATTCGCCTAGCAATTAGAACTGAACTCCCAAAACCTAATTTCGCAGTTATATGTGCCAGATACCAAGAAATATATCCATAATATCATTCATTTCAAAACATTGAAATTCACATAATCAGAATAATGAATAAAAAGTCCCATTGAAAGAATAAATCATACCCTTTTTGCCAGGCATCTGTTTTCCATCTTTCACATAAAACTCGCGGATATCAAGCACAGGCTTCCCCTGCCAGATCCTCACAGAAACCCTACGGTTCTTCGAAAGCTACAAAATCCATACCACAAAACACGATTACTGTGTGCTACAGACATGGATTCCACACATAAGCGGTATAAGGCATACCTCGCACACGACGATCCCGTCGGACTCATCAGACTCGTCAGTCTTAGTAGTCTTCTTAGGGCGGTCTTCGCCTTCGAAGGCACGGCTCTCGTCTTCCTTTCGCTTCTCGAACCTTCTGGACATTCTCTGTCTCTCTAGTCTCTGCTCGAGTAGGGTTCCCGATTTTTTAAGTTTTTTCTAGAGAGAAACCGCAGAAGTGACTATGGGCAATGGGCGCCATTCCCAAAACCCTTATCTAAGCCATTTTAAAAAAAAAACCAAAATTACTTTCCATACTTTTTGGAAGTAAAAAAAAGGCTAAATTCTACTGTCCTTTAAGTTTTTGTGTCAGGTTAGTCCTTCAACTTTGGCTTTGTTTGGTAACAGTGTTTTCGATTAGCGTTAGCGTTTTGGATAAAATTTTAACGGTACAGATTAATTCTGAAAACGCTAACGCTAAAGACTACCGTCGGATAGCTTTTTCAAAACTCTAACGCTAATCTCTGACGCTGATGCCAAACAGGGCCTTTATAAAGCTCATGAATAGTCCTTCAAGTCACGTTAATATTGCACAATTGGTCCTTCCGTTAAGTTTTCCGTTAATCCATGCATTTTCCTCATTTTTCATGATAAATACACGTAAGAAATCCTCTCTTCTTCGCACAATTGAGTCATATTTCATGTACGAAACTTAGATGCACTCATACTAGCAATGATTTGGGGACACCATAACATTTTCTTTTTTGAAATGGGTCCAAAATAGTTTTATAGTCTAGGGGTGACCAAGGACCGAACCGATTCCGATATTTCTCAAAAAAACCGAGAATACCGAACCGATAAAGTACCGCAAAGTAATCAAACCGTACTGAACCGAACAGTCGGTCCGGTATTTATGAATGGTACGAAGTTACTTCCCATACCGAAATTCCGGAACCGATTTAGTTTAATTTCATTATGTGTAAGTTGCACTTTAATAAGAGTTTTTTATTTTTTGTAGATGAGTATAAGAATATTAACAAACATTTGAAATAATACTTTGTTATCACTCGTTCTCTTTAGTTTGTGAAATATAAACTAACTTTCATAAGCATTTCTTGCGTTTTATTTTTTCATTTTTAAATTTTTTTATCTTTCTTTGGTGAAATGTACTTTCGGTTTTTCAAAAATAAAATGTTTTGTTACATTTTATGGTGTAAATTAGGTACGTATATATTCATCCCGATTTGTACCAAACCGATACCGAACCATACCGAATCATACCGAACCGATGTTTCGAGATCGGGATCAGTAGAACATAAAATCTCATACTGAACCGAAATATTTGGTACGGTATCGGTACGAACAAAATACCGTATTATACTCTACCACGCTCATCCCTATTATAATCTCATACTGAACCAAAATATTTGGTTTGGTATCGGTACGAACAAAATATCGTACCATACCCTACCACGCTCATCCTCCACGCTCATCCTGCCAAATTGCGCAGAAATCCACCCGGCAACGCACGGGTCACACACTCACACCACATAACACATGGCATCCTAGAGCGGTCAGCCCGTTGCGAGGAATCTCTGGCGGTTGGGATAGCTTAAGGCTACCACGTGGACTCCGAGGAGGAATTGGATTTGTTTTCCTAATTATTGCCAATAATTATTTTTAAATAAATACAGATAGAAATTCGTAATTGCCTGCCCATTAAGGATTTTTCTTGTTTTTCCTTCTAACCCATTTAGTTCGCTTCCGGCTCACGGATTAAACTACGAATTCTCTCTTTCCTTGAGAATCCCTTCGATATCTCCCATATCAGGTCGTCATTCGAGCCGTTTGGAGAGTTCTCCTTCCTTTTCACTTTATCTGTAGCGCCATTGATGGACGTTAACAATAATCGGAGGCCGGCCCAAGCTCAGGGCGGCGACGCGGCCGCTCCCGCACCGGCGGCGGCCAGAGTAGCTGCGGAGACTGGAGATTGGCGCTCTCAGCTCTCACAAGAATCTAGGCAGAAGGTCGTCAACAGGATGTAAGCATCCGACGCTGTTTTTTTGTGTTATGCATGAGATATATCTGGCCATATATGGCGAGTTGAATATTATAATTATAAATACAATTATTATTGGGGTTCGATCAGGTTGGATTGACTGTCTGAGATTACCTGCGCTTGATGTAAATGATATTTGTCTCATCTTTGTTACCCTCTGTGTGGACGAAGGCTGATTGATAATGGTAAATATATATAGGATCACATCCTGTTGGATGAATTGATTTTTTTTAGTCGTTTAGGGCTTGCAATTGTTTTGTTGTTAAGGTGATCATAGAAATTCTATTGTCGCTTTTGGTGATGACTATTTGAATGCTTCTCTTATTCGTGTAGGAATATTATTCCCATCTCTGTTACCCTAATTATGATGGGTATATTTAGTCGTATATATATATATTTACTGCATGTGATTGATGCATGTAGAGTCGAAATTCTGAAGATGCATATTCCCTCATCTGAGGGGATTCACGAGCTTAAGAGTGTGGCAATGAAGTACGAAGAAAAGATTTATGTTTCTGCTACAAATCAGGTGCGTCTACTAACTTAACTAGGAGTAGTTATGTTACTGGTTAACTATTTTGTTTTTAATTACTTGCAACCAAAATGTGATTTGTGTAATCTTAGTCATGTGGCTTTTACCCGCTCATCATTCTAATTTTCTTTCCATGCAGCCAGATTATTTGAAGAAGATATCCATGAAGTTGATATCTATGGAGAATAAACCGAGACGGATGGCCAATTCTATGCAATCTAACAATGCAACTAGTGCTCATAATTCCCAGGTTCCAGGTAGAATTCTGTTTCCGTGTTTTAGTCCAGCTCTTATACATACAAAGCCCTCTTCCTGCTTTTGTCTCTTTATGACTTTGTTTCAATTCTTTAGTATTAGTATAGTGAACTGAAACATTTATTGGCATTCAAAATGACCATTACATGCCGTTGTTTCTGTAGGTGTACACACAGGTATGCAGAGCCAGGTTAATAGCGAAGGGCAACCACTCTCTTTTCCTTTGGGGACAAATCAATCTCAGTTGCGACAGCAGTTAGGGTCTCATAACAATACAACCTCAACCGGACTGCAAAATTCTTCCACCAATTTGGCTCAGCCTAGCATAGCAGCAAATGTTGTCAACCAAGGTTATGGTTTGCAAGGTGTAGCTAATGTTGTTCCAGTGGCTAGCACGATGTGTTCCAATATGGTATCCAATTCTCAGAGACAGGTGCAGGGAAGACCGCAGCAACAGGAGCAGCAGCAGCAACAATCTCAGACTTCCTCACAAATGTTTTACCCACAACATGTGCACAACAGTCAAATGATGAAGCCCCAATCCTCAATGCAATCCCATATTCAGCAACAACAACAAAACTTAGTACAACATAATCAGATCCAACCATCTCAATGTTCTTCTGTTCAGCAAGCAACAAGTCAAGCTGTGTTTCAGCAACATTCCCAATCACTGCTCAGGCAGCAACAACAGAATAACCAACAACAGCAAGGGTCAACGCTGCAGCAATCAATGTTACAAAGCCCCCAGCAGCAACAGTTGATCGGGCACCATCAAAACCAAATGATAGTCCAACAAAGCAGCTTTCTTGACATGCAGCAACAGAAATCTAGGGTGATACCTCTGCAAAGTAACTACTCAAACATACATCAACAGCAATTGATTAGTCAACACACTATGCATCAGCAGCAATTGGGCAATCAAGGACATACTGTTGGGTTACAGAATCAACAAATTCATGGAAATCAACCATGTAGCTCTGGATTGCAGAGTAATCAGAACCCTATCCAGATGTCACAACATTCAAAGGTCCCACAGCAACAAATGTTGTCTAATTCTACACAACAGCAGTTGATGTCACAAAATCAAACACAACCTGGAGCATTGCGAATTCAGCACCAGGCAAATTCATTACAACGAGAAGTACATCAGCGGATTCAAGCTTCAAGTCCCATGCTTCAACAACAAAGTGTGATTGATCAACAGAAGACACCTTTGCAGCAGCAGAGGGCCAATCCAGAGGCACCATCAAGTAATTCTTCCTCCTATTGAGCTGATTAATAATCAATTCCAAGTCACTTTACTTCTATGTTTGCGTTATAGGTCAAATAAAGTTGACCATATAGTGGTTGTATCCTTGTGGTTCTAATACTCTTCACCTTGTTGTTTATTCACTTTGGTTCTTAATTTATAAGGAAAATTTCTATACCTGCCCATTTGGCTCCAACTTCTGGCCTATTTATCATTTTTGGTGCCTTTTGTCTTAAATTATTTTCTGTATTTTGCTTGACTATTTTTTTTTCAAGTGTTGTTTGTCCTCATCTTACGCTAGCCAACTTCTTTTTACTTTTTAAAATTGTGTTAGCTTCTCTAGATTCAACAGCTCAGACTGGAAATGAAAATGGAACTGATTGGCAGGAAGAAACTTACCAAAAGGTACATCCCGTTCAATCAATTGTAACTTCTCATGAAATGGTCTGTTCACATGCATGGATTTGTAAAGGGATTCTCTCTGGGTGCAGAAATGAATTAGGCTTCTTAATTTTGACTGGTAACTAAAACATATTACCTGAATCTGATTGATGCTTTTATGCAGATTAAGTCCTTGAGAGATATGTATTATCGGGATCTGAAGGATATATACACAAAGCTTTCTGGCAAATTGGCTCAGGTGAGATTTATGCGTTTTATTCATTGATTGTTTCAGATGTCTTAGGATTTCAACTGTGTGTATAATTGGCTTCATTATCTTATCAATAAGTATTTGGATGAGTGGATGATTAACATAAAAAATGACCTATCTTGCAAAACTCTAGCTCTTCGTATAATCTTTATTTCCTCTCTTTTCTCTTCTCAGAAATGGGGTTGCTCTAGTTGTAGGGTACTAGGGTTCTTAAAATAATGCATCTGCCCTTCACTTCCATAAATCTCTATCAACTTTAAGATAAGAACTAAGGGGAATCGAAATGAATCTCTGTGATGGTCAGTGTGATTTATCGGATAATACTCCTGACTTTTCTCTGATATTGTTTTTCCTAACATGGTTAGTTTTTCTTTGCAGCATGACTCTCTTCCTCAAGCACCAACAAGTGATCATATCAAGAAAATAAAATACTTCGTAAGCATGATGGAAAACCTTCTACAAGTCTTGGGCCTTAATAAGAGTGAGATTCAGTTGCAACACAAGGAGAGGTTAAGTACCCATGAGAAGCACATACTCTATTTTGTTAATAATTCCAACAGACCCCGAAAACCTGGTTCATCCATTAAGCAAGGGCAACCTCATCAGCTTCAGATGCAGCCTAACCATGCACAAACACATTACAATCAAGTCAATCCTCAGATGCAATCTATACA